GGGGGAGGAGGAGCATGGGGAGGAGCAGCAGCTGGATGAGCAGCAGGTGGAGGAGCGGCAGGTGGAGGAGCAGCAGGTGGAGGAGCAGCAGGTGGAGGAGCGGGGGGAGGGTGTGCAGCAGGGAGAGGAGCGGCGGGTGGAGGAGTACTTGAAGGAGCAGCAGGTGGAGGAGCAGCCGGTGGAGGAGCAGCAGGGGAAGGAGCAGCAGGTGGGGGAGCAACAGGTGGAGGAGCAGGGGGAGGGTGTGCAGCATCGCACTAACATGCGATCGTTCTATGGTGTCAGTCACCAGTCGCCTCTAGCCGGGCAACATGGAGCACATCCCGACTGTGTATGGGATCCCCTCGCCTATCGTGCGCAGCGAGGCAGAGGGAGGTATGCTTCGGGACGTCCGAGAGGAGGCGCTACCGGGGCTGCATGAGGCACAGGGCGAGGGAGGTCCGCTACCGGAGCTGCACGAGGCACAGGACGTGGGAGAGGTTGGCCGCGCAAGGACAAACAACCCGTTGCAGCACCGACAGCGGAAGAGTCGGATGACGACTCCAAGGAGAGTGCGCCGCTGCACAGGTCGAAGAAGAGGAGGATAGAGGGTGCAGCAGAGGGAGACACACAGACGGAGAGAGATTGAGAGAGAGGGTGTGTGCGTGTGTGTGTGTGTGTGAGAGAGAGAGAGAGAGAGAGAGAGAGAGAGAGAGAGAGAGAGAGGAGCCCATTACCTTTCTCGACGTTGTGGACCACACACCTTGCTGCTTGTTTTCACCTGAAGCCCTGAAAACGGTGAAAAGTTGCTTTCGCATTCGGTTTTGTTTGTGTGCTTCCTTGTCCTGCACTCCTCCTATGTGTGTGTGTGTGTGTGTCTATGTGTGTGTGTGTGTGTGTGTGTGTGAGTGCAGCGAGTGTGTGAACGCAGCAACTGTATGTGTTGTGCTAGTGTGTGATAGACTGTCTGTCACAGTCTGTCACAGTCTGGTGAACACTCTGTCACGATCTGGTGGGCAGCAAACACAAACTATTACACAGTCTGTCAGGCAGGGCCCACCAGACTGTGTCGGACTGTCCACCAGACTGTGACAGACTGTGAGTGTGAGAGTGTGAGTGTGTTCCAGACCGTGAATGTGAGTGTGTGAGAGACAGTGACAGACTGTGATTGTGAGTGTGTGAGTGTGTGCCAGACTGTGAATGTGTGTGTGTGACAGACAGTGACAGACTGTGAGTGTGAGTGTGTGACTGTGTGAGTGTGCGACTGTATGACTGTGAGACTGTGACAGACTGTGTGTGTGATAGTGTGAGTGTGTGAGTGTGTGAGTGTGAGTGTTTGAGTGTCTGAATGTGTGACAGAGTGTGTGAGTGTGCGAGAGAGTGAGTGTGTGAGTGTGCGAGAGAGTGAGTGTGTGAGTGTGCGAGAGAGTGAGTGTGTGAGTGTGTGAGTGTGTGACAGACTGCCCACCAGACTGTGACAGACAGTGACAGACTGTGAGTGTGTGACTGTGTGAGTCCAACGACTGTATGTATGTGTGTTAGTGCGTGTGTGTGTGTGTGTGAGTGCAGCAAGTGTATATATGTCTGTGTGTGTTATTGCATTAAGCGTAGGTGTGTGTGTTACTGTGTGACAGAGTCTGTCACAGTCTGTGTCAAATGGTGACAGACAGTCTGTCACAATCTGGTGGGCAGCAAACACAAACTGTAACAGAGGCTGGCCCCCACCAGTTTGTGTGTTCCAATGAACCAACAGACTGTCTGTCACAGTCTGTGTGTGCTGCCCAAAAGACTGGCTGTGACAGACTGTGACGGACAGTCTGTCACATGTGTCTTGCTGGTGGGGGGCAGCACATACAAACTGTGACAGACAGTCGGTGGTGGGGGGGGGAAGGGGTGTTGGGGGGGAGKGGGGKGRTGGGGTGATGGGGTGGATCTGGTGGGGGGCAAAGTTTGTGTGCTGCCCAATACCTTGAATGTGACAGACTGTGACGGGCAGTCTGTCACACGTGAGTGGCTGGTAGGGGACAGCACACACAGACTGTCACATACAGTCTGTCCGAGGGGGGGAAGGGGGCCGGGGGGCGGGGAGGTGTAATGAGAGCCCCCACTTCGCAGACACCGGGGAAGGGAGTAGGGGGTCGGGGGAGGGGGGGGTCGGGGGAGGGGGGGGTCGGGGGTCAGGGACACCACCCATGCCCCCCCTGACCTATATATATATATATTAAAAAAAAAAAAAAAAAAGTTCGCGTTCGCTGATTTTCGGAGCCCGTTCGTGTTCGTTCGCGTTCGGGCGAATGTGTTCGCGAACGCGAACGGGGTGCTACACAGGAAAAAAGAACGAAACCTCTTCTGCAGGCACGAACAAACACACACAATAATAATAGAATAGTGACAAGCAATGGCCAAGTTGCTCTTGCAAGGTTCGTGTGAGTAAAGTGGGGACCACTTTTCTCTCTCAGGGGTGGGTATCGCTAACTCAGGACGATGTGGTGAGTCCTGATCCATCAATCAAATGCATTCGGAAGACTTGTCTGTCCAGATTCAAGGTCCTGATGAGTCGGTGAAAGTCCTACAAAACAGTCTCAGACTGGCACAATCATGCTTTTTTTAAAATGTGTAGCGAATACGACAAAACACACACACACACACACACAGACAAACAAAAGAATCCATTCGATGCCTTTTCTATGATTAAATCTTAAAAAAAAAAAATTTACATGCCGAAACCTTTTTGGTTTTTGGCGCCCAAACCTTTCCCGGTTGGCGATCAAGGCCTACCTGAAAATGAATCCGGTGCAGATAAAGCGCCAGGTTCACGAAAAGGCCCAGCGGTAAGAATCCAATCTCAGCCACCAGATTTCTGCATCCGACGGCCTCTGTTGCCCGTGGGGGCTTTTTACCAAGTAGGAAAGGTTTGCGGGTCTTGGGCTTGCCAAACCGCTCTCGAAACGTGAAAAAGACTCAAATTATTGTAAAATGTGGAGGGTGCATCTGGCCATGTTAACGGATATCCTGAAGCGCACATGACAGACAGAAATGTTGGGGACGTGTTCACTTTTTTTTTTTTTTTTTTTTTTTTTTTTTTAAAGGATGACGGCCTTGAGATATTATCATTGAGCTGACCGGCCCCAAACAATTCATTAGTAGTTGGTTTTACTCGTCTACTCGTCAAGTTCCATCATCTAGATTTGAACACAGATCTGTATTTCAACAGTTCATGGGTGTACTCACTGAGCTAGACTCTTGGGTGACGTGTTCAGTTTGGATGTAAATGTTTTCACTTTTAGTGCGGGACCGTTTCCGCTTTTGGACGAACATTTTACGTCCTTGCTTTCGGCAAAATACGTCTTAAATGAGCAAACAACTTTTCGGAGCGTTCTTTATTTTTCCTTCTCAAAAAATGGGACTCCGGTACGTCGTACCTGACCCACAACATTTCGGCAGTTCCTTCAGCGCGTTGAAAAAAGAAAGGTAAAAAAAGAAGAAGAGTGAAGAAGAAAAAAACCCAGGTTTTTTTATTTCGTTTGAGCGCCAACTTTTCGGTCGTTCTTTTTCTTTCTTCTTTTCCGCCCCCTCCTCCAATACTGTTTTGAATTCTTCAGCTTAGAAAAAAGATCATCAGTGGACGAAAGCAGAACAGGGATCAAATCAGGAACTGCTGAGGGCACTTTTAAATGGTGGAACCCCCGGCATCATCGGCGGCATGGACCCCCCCGGTCCCCCCCATCGTAATCGGTAAAAAATTTGAATGGTGGAACGACCTGGTCACAGATCACGATCAAAGACTCAGCACGTGACGAATGCATGCAACTTGATGCAAGGGCTCACGTACGGCTTAAAGACGGAGTACGTGACGCGTGAATGCATGCATGGGGTCTCAAGTGCGGAGTAAAGCAAGTGGCGCCCTGCATGCATCACGTCAAGCACATGAGCGGTCTAAACAGGTGACCCCATGCATGCATGGTCTCAAGGCCAGTAGTGACGTAACGCACGTGACTTGATGCATGCATGGGTCAAGTCGGGTGTAAAGCACTTCGACGGTTTGATCCCATGCATACACCACGTCAGGTAGACTGTAAAGCACGTTGACCGCATGCATGCATGCGGTGTTAAAGTACGTGGCACCCTGCATGCATGACCTCAAGGTCCTCAACGACATGAGTGGTCTAAACACGTGAAACCATTCATTCATGGTCTCAAAAACAGGAGCGACGTAACGCACGTGACCCGATGCATGCATCCGTGCATGGGTCAAGTCGGTTATAAAGCACATTGACAGTGCATCGGGTCACGTACTAGGCTGCAAACACTGTAAAGCACGTTGACCGCTTGCAATCCAAAGCACAGGAACGACGTAATGCATTAACTGCATCCATGCATAGGCCCACGTCGGTTGTAAAGCAGGGGTTTGTGCCCATGCATGCATCATGTCACGTATCTCTTAAATCTCGTTGCCCTCATTCACGTGAAGTGCAGAGCACGTTACCGTATTTGTACTTTCGCACCGCCAGCTTCACGTCACGCCCACTGTACTGATGAGGTGAATTCAGACTTGATGTCGACGTCAAAAGTAGGAAGTAAAATAAAACATTTGACCTCAGTCGGAATAAAAGCTGAAGAACTACGCGGCCCATGCGGCTGAACGGTGCACCCATGAAAAAAATTGATATGCAGTTTGAGTCCAGATGGAATCAGATGAGTAAAATAATTCAAAATTTAGCTGGCGCCAGGCCGTTGCATGATATCCTGACGCCATCACCATTTAAGAAAAAAGAAAAAAAAGAAAAGAAAGTTTGGTAGAATGTTTGTATACCTTTCATCCTCACTTGATTTCCCGAGATGAAAATCGACTATGGGTCAATGGGCCTCGCCACATGGCACACGTGTAAAATGGAGAATGTATCTCCTGCTAAAACGTGGAAGATACACCCGACGTAGCTTTTGTCTTTTCCACATTTAGTGAGTGCTGTGGCGACGCCCTGTATTAGCGTATAGTTGAAACTCGTAGGAAAAGCTACATATATAGCCGCAGTAAAAAAATATTAAAAAAAGAATTGTTTTTTTTCTTGTTTTCCTTCTGTCTTTTTTGCCTTCGCGCTCTGATATTTCTGTGACGATATATAGACGCAATAGCTAATACTAGCCGGCGGTTTAGCGGTTTTCTAAACAGTATTGTTTAAAAAAATAATTAAAAAATAAAAAAATAAAAAAATTGTTGTTATAATTAATCTTTTATAACTTTAAAATTAATATTATATTATATATTATTCACTACATACAAGTATTTCGTGACTTCTGGTCACACTGCCGTGTCCCA